TAAATATACATTACAGTGAACTTAGACACACGCGCGCGGACAACCGACCAGCCATTAGTGTGACGTTCATCTTCGTCATAGCTACGTCATTGCTGGCGCAGTCGCGCAGACTACCGCCGAACACGCGCTCCATCTATGTTTCCTAACATAAAGTTCACAAAGATTACCAATTAATTGAATGGGAAAACCTTTCGCAAAAGTTTGAAATTTTTCAAAATTTAGCAACTCAAAAAACTGTAAATTTTCAATCTCTAGGAACCTTACTTTTATCTGATCAATAATAATTTGTAATATTTGATCAAATTTTTCTTTATAAATAGTTTTTGGTTCATCATAAAATCTAGCTCTTTTTGTTGGTGGTTCAAGATTATCGTAAGGTTTCCAAAAATTGTATTAAAGTGTGTTTCCTCTTTTTGAAATCCCATTAGTATATCCTCTGAAAGGCAATTCCTGTAACGCTAAATACAATACAATATTTGTTAAACATTTCAAGATCTCACGATTTTCGGTAACTTTTTGATTATAATTTCCTATTTCAATTTTCCTGGCATTGTAATAATAATAATAATAATAATAAGGCTTTATTCCTAACAGGTTTACACCCAATAACAAGGAAAACTAAAACTTAGGCTCAAATCAACCGCAAACAGTAAATAAATAATATACAATTCCAAAGTCAGTGAACTTAAGTATAACATAAGGCATTATTAATAATAAGAGCTCCCACAAAACTACAAACTATAAATCTTACTACTTACTAATACAAAAAAAGGATTTGATTATAACCGATAGCGAATCGTAATGTATATCGCAATGAGTCGATATTTCATTAAACTTATTACACATAACAACTACTGGAGATTTACGTAATACGTTTGTCTTATATGGTGGACTATAAAAAATTTGAGATTGGCGTGAATTAATACGAGGTACGACCAAGTTAAATTTATCCAGAAGGCTCGGACAATCTATTTTGTTGTTAAATAAATTAAAAACAAATTTAATGACAATAATATTGCGCCGATCCTGGAGAGCTAGAAATTCAAACCTACTCAGAAGTGCAGCATGATCACACCCCCTTTCAGGATAAACTTTATCTACACAATAACATAAAAATTTGAGAAATTTACGCTGAACAGCTTCGATATTTTTAACATGCACATCATATAAGGGATACCAAATTATAGCACCATATTTCAATCTAGATCTAATAAGCGCAAAATATAAATTACATAAAGTTCTTATATTTGAGAACTCGCTACAATTTCTGTAAACAAAACCATACATCCTAAAAGAATTTGCTATTACATCATCTATATGTTTCACAAAATGGAATTTAGAATCAAACGTAATGCCAAAATCTTTAAAATTGTCACAACGATGTAACTCAGTATTGGCTATGGTGTAAGGAAATATACTAGGATTAAGTTTTCTTGTATAGGACACAATGAAACATTTGTCTTGGTTAAGAGATAAACGATTACGAATACACCATTGCAAAATAATCTGAATATTAGCTTGAAGAGTCACGCTATCGTTAATATTTTTAATGTCCATAAACAACTTGAGGTCATCCGCATATAAAAGTTTCTCGCATGATAGACCATCCACAATATCATTAACAAACAGAAGAAACAATAATGGACCTAAGTTCGACCCTTGCGGCACACCAGAGGTAGGAGAAAATGGTTGTGAATAAAAGTTACGATATTTAACGACTTGGACTCTGTTCGTTAGATATGAACGGAAAAAGTTGATCAGAGGAGTGGAAAATCCAAACTGTTGTAATTTAGCAATCAAGACATAATGATCAATTTGGTCAAATGCTTTACGAAAATCCGTGTAAATAGTGTCAACTTGACCCCTATTATCAAGACAAACAGAAACATATTGAGAGAAACACGCCAGGTTTGTAATCGTAGATCTACCCTGAAAAAAACCATGTTGATATTCAGTTATATGAGATTTGACAGCAGAATAAATGTATTTATACAGAACAGTCTCAAATGTTTTTGCAAAATTACATAACAAACTAATGGGTCTATACTTATCAATATCAGAGACATCACCTGCTTTGAATACCGGGCAGATACAAGTCTTTTTCCAACAATCAGGCATTTTACATTGCTTTAATATGAGATTAAAGATTTTTAGCAAGGGATGGGCAAAGATACATGCACAGTCACTCAGGAGGAAACTAGGAATGGCATCCAACCCAGCAGTACAAGAATTCTTTGACTTTTTCAAGGCTAGAAAAACATCATTTTCAGTTAGAGAATCAATAGAGACAAATAGTTGACTCGACTTGTCAGAGGCAAAAGAGGGACATAGATCATCATTGGAGGCAATGTATACACTATTAAAGTACTCACCAAACGCGTTTACAATTTCCTCTGGTGAAGTAAGTTGTGAATCATTAAAATGCATCACCCCAGGAATCCTAGTACCCCCCTTTTTAGATTGAACAAATGCCCAAAACGATTTAGGGTCCGTTGAGATATTGTTCTCAATTCTGTGAATATATTCTTTGTACGACGCCTTAATAAGATGCTTACACCGAGAACGATACAATTTAAATAAATTCCTGTAAATAATAATCAGTGTTGCGTTTTCTATACAGCCTGTGACAAGCATCCTTTGCCTTAATAGTTGCAATTATTTCCTGATTGAACCAGGGAGGCCAGGAGTGACTATTACGTTTGGGCACCGATTTTGGAACAGTAAGAAGAAAAATTTCATGAAGCTTATCATAGAAAAGTGAGCATGCTTTATCAACATCAATGTTAGCCTCTAAAAAGTCCCAATTGGTTGACCCAAGCAAATCATATAGCAATCGAAAGTCAGCTTTTTTGAAGTTGAATTGATTAGTCATATCATTTAATGGAAATTCACGTAATGGAGTCTCTAAAACCGTAAGTATGGATAAAGAAGGGTGATGATCGTCGGCATCAACAAGATCAAAATCTGCACTATCAACCTGGCATTTCAAGTTAGACAGAACTAAGTCCAAGATGCGTTGCCGCGTATTTTGTATTGTGTTGAACTGTGATAGAATATTAAATTGTAAAAAGTTGTTAAGAGAAGCCGTGAATTGATTTGAAATGCCTAGTGAAAAATCAGGCACGTTAAAGTCCCCTAATATAAGCAACTTACAGAATTTAAAATCTTCAATAGCATTTAAAGTGTCAAGAAATAAATCAAACTCCTGAAATGACGTTTGCGGTGGCATGTACACTGAAAGAATAATTAGGCTCTGACCCTTGAGCAGCAGTTTGACACCTACAACATCAACATTGGGAATATTTTCATAAATAGCTGATAGATCTAATGATAGTGTTTTAAAACATGCTCGAACAGCAATTAAAACACCTCCACCGCGTGAAACTGCTAACACTCGAAAATTTCTATCTTTTCGAAAAACAGTGAAATAAGAGGGAAATAATTCACTATTGACAATGTCGCTAGTAAGCCATGTTTCACTTAACACTATTACATCAAAATCATTCTGTGAACAAATAGAATTATAGAAATCACTAACTTTAGATCGTAGTCCTCTCACATTCTGATAGAAGCAGCGAAGTGTATTAAGTTTGTTGTTACTGGGTGTATTCTTCAGTTTAAAGAAACAATTTTCGGTGAACCCTTCACATATCGTATTTTCAGATCCTTTTCACCAGTTGCAATCCTAGCATCGAGTTGCTGTTTAAGCTGTTTATACGCTTCAATTTGTTTCGCAGTACGGTCAAAAGATAAAGAAATAGCACCGAAACTTGGATTACCGTTGAGCTTCTTGGCTTCACGGATAAACTTATGAACATCAGACTCATCACCAAAAGTGACCTTGATAGGTCTGGTTTTTGAATTGTGGGGCAAAAATCTTCCTAGTCTCTGCAATTTAAACTCAGGAACAGCAGGATCAGCTTTAATTGATTCCAGAACACTATTTACAGCAGATAGATCTAAATCAGTGCGTTGACTATTGTTGAGGGAACTAGACTGTTCCGGCACATTATCGAGCATATTAACAATATTGTTTGATTTGCCTAACATCTGATATTTTACATGCGCGGAAATGTGTTCTGCTGAGCAAGAGTGGCGACTAATAGCTCTTGACAAATTTTTTAAGTCAGAAAATCCATTTTTTACCCAGTTTTGATCTTCGGCGTTAACTTTACCAAAAAGAATACAAAACCAACAAAACAACTTATTATTATAAATACTACCAGTTAACCATTCACATTTATTATACCAATCTTTAGTAAACGAACGACACTTGGATCCATCCTTAATTCAGTGATGAAAAAGAGTTGGTTAACAACAGTGGCGTAAATAGCACCCCCGCAGACTCTGCAATGCGGGGGGCGCAGCGCCAAAAGGGGCGCAGACCATAACGTAACCGATATATTTTTTTAAAATGTGCAAACGAGTCAGTACATATTTATATTGCTTTTTAAATTTGGTGTATGGGGGCGCTCAGTATAAACTGCCTCCCCTAACGAGCCGCCACTGGTAAAGGATATATATTCTTTTTATTTACAAAATGATCGTTTCACATACAATAGGAGATACGGAAAAATCTTGACCTGTTTGCTCTAGATACTCAATAATAATAGAAAAACAATAAAGTGTTAATTTCTAGTGAAAATAGAGCAAGGTGCACAAATACAATACACTGTTGTCTATGTAGAAAAAAACTGAGATATTACTAGTTAAAAATTATAAATAGTACAACAATTTTATTATTACTACAAAGATGATATTTTTGTTTATCAATCCACAAATCCAAAACTATCCATAAAATTGATAGCATGATTTGATATACGGAGAGAACTTTCGTTCACAGTATAACAGCTATTTCATACAACACTAATTATCTTTATTTTAATTTTATTCCAAACAACGACAAAAGGTTTTCTACATACATTAATAAATTATTCAGCATGCCATCCATTATAAAAAAAAGAGAATACCTTACGTACTCCTCGTTGTCTTCAGTAAGACGCAACCATGACACCCGACAACAGTCAAATCAAACTTGCTTTTAAAAACCAAACGATTTTCTTGACTGGGGCAACAGGGTTTGTAGGCAAAGTCATGATTGCAAAATTACTAACAGACTGTGAAGACATTAAAAAGATCTACATGCTGCTACGGTCCAAAAAAGGGAAGAACAGTGAGCAACGCTTTGAAGAAATTTTTGAGCAGCCTGTGAGTATTAACAGTTTTCATTAAATTTTGTATATTCTGTTCAGTGTTTCGAGTTCTTAAAATCCAAAAGTAGCAACTGGAAGGAAAAAGTTTCGCTGGTTGAAGGTGACTGTGAAGAACCCTTGTTAGGAATAAGCGACGATAATTTGAAAATGTTAAAAAATGAGGTTAATTTTGTTATCCATCTTGCGGCGAATGTAAGGTTTGATCAGAGCCTGAAAAAAGCTGCTAACAATGTTAAATGTACTGCAGATCTTTTGGAATTGAGTAAAGGCATAGCTAATTTAAAGGTAGCGTGCTTTTACATATATTTTTGAAAAGTGTAATTTTTGAGTTTCAAGTGTTTCGTTCTTGTATCGACAGCTTATTCCAATTGTATAAATTCTCACATTAAGGAAGAGATATATGATCCGCCCATCCAGCCCGAGCTTTTATTCAGTATGGCAAATGGTCTAGATGAGAGTGTTTTGACAAATTTAACTCCCGCGTAAGTGTCTTTCAGTCGTGAATTTAAAGGTTGCGTACGTTTCCTGTTTGTGTTTTGAAATAATTGTTCGCTTGTATTTACAAATGCAATTTTTTTGAAGATTATTATTAAAAAAATGGCCGAACACTTATGTCTACAGCAAATGCATTTCTGAATATTTAATGAAAAATGCAGCCAAACATTTTCCAGCTACTATAGTTCGGCCATCAGTTGGTAAATGACGTTCGCCTATTAAAATAGTAACCAGATCTTAATTGATGTTATAGTGATGAATTCAGTTAAAGAACCAGAACCAGGGTGGATTGACAACATATATGGGCCCATTGGCTTATCGATAGGAGTAGCTCTTGGTATAATTAGAACTTTGCATGGAGATGATAAGGTGTCGGCACATGTCGTACCAGTGGATTACGTTTGTAATTGTATTTTAGCAGCTACGTGGAAAACCGCAAAAGAAAAAAAATCTAATACTACAGTTTTTAATTACATTGGGTTTAAAAGGAAACAGATTAACTGGGGTATATTAAGATTATATCGGGTGCCTAAATAAAAATCGGGTCAAGAGTGTTATGTCGCCAGCTTTTGTTTTGTAATAGCAATTGTAACAAATATTAATGGTATTTATACAATTTAAAATCTTACATGATGTTCATTATATACGACACAGACAACGGACAGGCAGACATACAAACAGACGGAAACCGGGGACCCAATTTCGTGCTCTAGGACCACTCCATTACCATACTTCTTTAGCTTAGCTTACGGTCGGGAAGTAAAAACAATAAAATGGGACTCAGCCGTCTTGACCAGATATTTAATTAGACACCCATACTTAAATTTTGTAGATATGAGAAATTTGATTTCAGGACAATTTTCGTCCTACATGATCTCATTGTACTGGAGAATGCCCCTCCAGGATTTAATTTGGTATAGTGGTGCCAAAAACAGTGGAAAACTGTCTAACCAGATTCACACGTTTTTGTTGCATACGATTCCAGCATACCTTATTGATGCATTTCTGTATTGTATAGGAAAACCAACCATGTAAATTTTTTTAAATAATCTACTTAATTAATAATTACGGATATTACGTGTAATTTTAGGGCTGTCAAGGCTTACGCAAAAATCGATAAAGTTCTCAAGCTTATATCGTATTTTTCTACCCACAATTTTGATTTTGATGAGGATAACGTACAAGATTTGTGGACGGAGATGAGTGAAGACGATAAAATGTTGTTCAATTTCTCAATGGAAAAGTTACAGTGGAAAAATTATTTTGAGACGTGTGGTCTAGGATTCAGGCGCTACATCACAAAGGACCCACCTATCGCCAGCACAAGAACATATGTAAAATTATTCACGTTTATGATAGCCCATTATTTAGTTATCGCAATTTTCTATTATTTGATATATAAATTTTTTATGTTTTTTTTTAATTTCTTCTACTAAAATGAATAAATATTTGCAAGACTAGCGATAATTTACCGTTTTAATTACTAGTTCTGTAAATCAAAATATACTGAATACTTTAAAATTTTGCAGACGTTTTAAAGTCATTGTAAGCATGGTAAATTGTTAATCAAAATAAATCTGTTTATTTCCCCCAAAAAATTGATGACGTTGTCTCAAAATTTTGTCGAATAAATTCTACCCGAAATGTGCAAATATGATGAGTTTTTACTTGTGATTCATCATAGCATTCAAATTCTTTATTGAACAAATTAAGAATGATTCACCCCATTTTCCCGAAAATGTGAAAATACATACATATTTATTTAATAAGAATTATAATAATGGTATTCAGAACATTTTCTCGATTGTAGTTTACTAGTTAATTGTTTTGATTCTCTGTTTTGAGGGGACGAACTGATTCAGATCAAGCTAATTTCTACGTGACATTCTTCCGATGTATCAACAAAAACACTTTCAAGTTGTTTTTCTTCTCGAGGATAATCTAAGGACGTACAGTAATGGTATTTGGTAGTTTCAAATTTTCTCGGATCTATAGGGATGCTTGTTTTTATTGTTTCTAATTTGGTTCTTACAAAAATACAATTTCGTCTTCGGCTGACCGTTTGCAACTCTGGTCACTTCCGCCCTTTCCGTTAATTTATGGCAGCCACCTACATCTGGGATACCATAAGGAGTTCGCGGCGCAGATGGGTACAGTGTTTTACAAAACGTTTTGTTTTCACTCCCCCATTCTTTTCTGTTCGTTCAGTAGCTTAAAAGTGTACTGTTTTTCGAATTTTACAGTGTGTTAAAAATTAAAAATTCCATAATTCAGTTTGCATCGAATTATATATTATCATTTTTGGAATCAACAGTGTTTAAGATATTTAAATAATTATTTTCGTTTTGTTAAATGTTAATAATACAACTTATTCATTAGATATTTAATTAAATAAAATGTCTGAGCGCAAATATCTCAGTGGAAGCCAAAAGAGAAAACTTAAGCTTCAACATGAACAGGAACTAGCAAAATGTCGAAAAGTCACAAGTTTTTTTACACCTCAACCTTCTACTACCACTTCAAATAACTCAACTCGTGAAAATGAAGTTATTTTGAAAAGTGTAAAAAATTCTGCTGGAACTTCATGCAACTTCATACCACCGTCACCGATACAGTCAATGAAAACATGATTAAGGATGAGGCTAAACAAATCGTAAGTGATATATTTAACGATAAATTTAAAGATATAGCGTGATGTCTGAATTTTATCAAAAAAATTGAAGAACCGAAACATTGCAAAATCTCAGAACTGAAATACTGAAAAACTGAAAAATGGAAGGAAAACTGAAAAATCGAAAAAGTGAAAAAATTCAAAACTGAAATCTTGAAAAACTGAAAAATGGAAAGAAAACTGAAGAATCGGAAAAGTGAAAAAATCCAAAACTGAAACATTGAAAAATCCAGAAATCGAAAAATTGAAAAATCACAATTGAAGAAAGAATTGAAAAATCAAGAAATAGAGAAATGGGAAAATCAAAAAATCAGTTAATCGAAAAATTGAAAAATCGAAAAATTTTGAAACGTCAAAAATTGAAAACTGAAAAATAAAAAAATTTAAAAATCGTAAAACTGAAATATCGTAAAGTTAATAAATTGAAAAACTGAAAATTTTTGAAAAAAAATCGTATCAAAAACTAAAAATTAAAAAATTGAGAAATTGAACAATCAAAAAATCAAAACACTGAAATCCCAGTAAGTTGATAAATACGAAAATTTAAAAAACAAAAATTTTAAAAATCCAAGAATTGAACAACAAAAAAAATCTAAGCCCGAAAACTCAGAAATTGAATGATCGAGAACAAAAAATCTAAAATTTAAAAATTCGGCAAATTGAAAAATCATGGAACTGAAAAATCGAAAAGTTGAGATAGTGAGAAATCTAAAAACCTAAAACTTTAAAAACTGAAAATTTAAAATATCGAAAAATTTAAAAACCGAGAAAACACAATATCAAAAATTTGAAAAATTGAAGAAACGAAATATTGCAAAATTCCAAAGCTGAACTATTGAAAAACCTAAAAACGGAAGGAAAATTAAAGAATCGAAACAGTGAAAAAAATCCCAAACTGAAACATTGAAAAATTGAGAAACGGAAAAATGGGAAAATCAAAAAAATTGGTCTAAAGAGTTTTGACAGTACTTCCCTCGCTATCGGAAACGTGACGACTGCATGCCTATTATGTTCTTTTTCGCATTAGATTTCAAAGCATTCGGTTTTGTAGTTCCTGATTAAATCAATAAAATAAATTTGCGCATTCATTAATTTTTGGGGTCATCCTGTATATGCAAATCCAAAAAACATGAATGGAATGATAAATCACAAGAGACTCATCATATTTTATACAATTTAGATAGGATTTATTCAGCAAAATTTTGAGGTGACGTCATCAATTTTTTAGAGGGGATAAGTAAATATATTGTGATTAAAACGGTCTTGGTTTAATAACAAAAAAATATTATTCGTCTATAAAACAAGCTCGTCTTAGACAAAGTATTCGTAAAAAAAATATGTCGTAAAAAAATGTACGTATGCTGGTCCCGACTGCGATTATGGTTTAAATATTTTTTAGAAAATCCTGTCATGGATGTAGAAACATTTGTGACAGCCAAAGAGGTTTTTTTGAGAAAATTATCTTTGAATTTAGACCAAATTGAAATAGGCACTAGGCAACAGGCACATTTGGGCAAAAGAAAGAGAAATTACGGTTACGGCTTCAAATTTTGGACGTATTTACAAACTTAGACCGACTACAGCAATAGCTAAAACTGTGGAGTCTCTGTTGTACAGTACATTTAGAGGTAATAGTCATACATACTATGGACAGCAAAGTGAGGAAAAAGCTGTCAAGTGTTTTGAAATTAAAATAAAAATATAAAAACTGAACGGTGTGGCTTGTTTATTTCAAAACAATTTCCTTACTTGGCTGCTAGTCCAGACAGGGTTCTAGAGGATAGGAGTGCATTAGTCGAAATTAAATGCCCTTCAAAATCGCAAGATTTGTCTCCCGAAGAAGCGGTTAGAAAAAAAAATCAAATTTTGTACATTGACAGACAGAGAATTGAAACTAAAAAAAAATCATGATTACTACTTTCAAGTCCAGGGACAAATGCTTGTTACGGGTATTTCACAAGTTTATTTGACACCCAAAGGATTTAAATATAGAAAAAATTTATAAAGACGAAGAAATATATGTAAAAACTTGGCAGATTTTACTTTGGCGCATTATTGCCCGAAATAATTGATTCAAGAAGAAAGAGGAACCTGCGTTTGTGAGAGATTTTTTTAAAAAATTTTTATGTAGTTTAATAATTTATTA